TCCCAAAGCAAGTTGCATGGTTTCTCTGGGTGGTGGAGGGACCAGTCATTGGAGGGAGGCTGGTAGGTGAGTGGCTTGTGGTGTCAGCCTGCCCAAGCAGATACCTCCTGTTGGCCAAAGCAAGGGGACCAGAGGCCCTACCGGCTCGGCAGCTGTGTGGCCAGAGAGCAGGAGGCTGAATGAGAAGGCCTCTTCAATAGTGAGTATGCCCCTTTACCCGCCACTGCCACCCCTGGGTGGCAGCTGGGGCCCAGTGGCAGCTATTTTTAGCCCTCAACACCTGGGTATTTTGCAGCCGCAGGATGTCCGGTTTGGAGTCTCTTTCTGGGAATCCCACATGCGGCTGTTGTAAACAGCCCCACACAGTGGTGACTCGTACTGGGAGCCAGCACCCGCCCCCCTCCTCCACGGCCCTGTTTGAGATGAATCAAACAGGAAGCAGACGCAACCATGGCATTGGCAGCCTGAGCTAGGGTTGGGAAGGCCCTCCCCACCATAGTAGAAACTTGGCTGATCCTGGGCAAGGCCACAGGTGACTAAGGTTCCTGGGCCCAGCCCTCTCTGGACAGCCTGACTGTCCTGAAGGGCTTCCTTGGGCCTTACCACCTCGTGGGGCCTCTCAGGGCATCCCTCAGCTTTCCCTGGACACCCACTGCATGCTTGGAATGAGGGCACATCCACTTCCTCAGGACATAGGCCTGGCAAGCCTGCATCTACTCCCTATCACTGCGGCCTCCTCCTTACAGCATGGTGTGCTCCTGCACTGCCCTGAATGCTTAGACAATTCCTGAGCAGTCAGGCTCCTTCAGTCCAGTCCACCCTGGAAACCCTCAAAGACATCAGTTCCACACTCACTCCCAACTCCCGTACTCCAGGATCTCTAATCCCTAAGATAGGAAGTTCACCATGAAGTCTAACCACTGACATTCTTATCATAAGCAAAACATCCTGAGTAGACAAGATTTGAGGACCATCTGTAACATGTGGATAAGCTTCTAGGTCCTGTCTGCTGCTGCCTTCTCTCTCCCTCCTCCCCCACCCTCTTGGTGCCCCACTTAGGCCAGCTGCTCCCTCTTAGCATCCAGTCCCAGCCAGTCTTTCTCAAGCTCTTGCCCCAACAGGAAGCACAGTCACTGCCCCAGGGCTGCCTCTCAGGGCAGCTCCTTCTCCCCTCTGAGGTCTCACAGACGTTCCCTCAGTCTCCTGGTTGGCCTCCCCATGCTCCCCTACTCCTGCTCACCACAGTTCGTCTCTCCCAGCTGCCCACGGAGCCTGGGCTGTGCTCACTCAGCAACCCCTGCCTGTGTCAGCCAAAGGCTTCTCTGCCCATTCCCAAAACTACCAGGGAAACTTCCAAGTTCTCACATTAATAATTATGTTGTTTTAAGTATTAATAAAGAATATTAGTAATAATCACTGCGTGTTAATGCTGACAGTGTAACTGGTCACTGGGCTAAGTGTTTCGCTGGTACACAATCTCACACAGTCCTCACAGAAGCCTATAAAGTAGATAGCTATCAATCTCATTTTACAAAGGAGGAAACTGAAGCTTAGATAGGTTAAGAAACCTTCAGAGGGCTGAAGTGTAGCTCAGCAGTAGACTGAGTGCCCAGCACACAGGAGCCCCTAGATTTGATCCTTAACATGGTGA